AAAATATTGCCAATCTTTTCTAAATTGTTACAAAGTATGTTGCACTGATTTGATTGAGTTGTATTCTTTCGTTAAATTGTAGATGCCTGCAATCGGACCCAACCTGGCCCGGATTGACACTTATACCTAGCATTTATAGTGTGTTAAAAAATTATATCATACTAATACAATAGCAATAGATAGGTTTCTAATGGATAGTTCGATAAAACGAATAAAACAAATAAAAATGAATAAAACGAATAAACGAATAAAAACGAATAAAACGAGTAATTTGAATAAAACGAATAAAATAACAAATAAAAAAAAAAATTTTTGAATAAACGAATAATTCGAATAAAATGATTAATTCGAATAAGGATTTATATTAATAGAAACTTTATAATACAGCATAACTTGGTTACAACGAAAACCCAGTGAATATTTCAAGCCTTGTATATATCTCGTTATTGTACTAAATAAACAATGTCTAAAATTTCCGCAGTTATAATCCTTGTATCTTATGCAACTCAATTTTGAGTACGGAGGTCATATACCCGGGAAGTCTCTAAGCTCACATACAATATAGAGATTATAATATTATTTATTTATTTTATTTATTATTTACATGATCTATATTTGTATTTTAAGAATTGTAATTTTATTATTTAAAGAAACTAAATTCAAATAAATTAAGTAATTTAACAACCATTAAATTACCTATTCATTGACATTGTTAAATAATTAGTGATAATTATTTTAATTATTTGAACGTTTACAACGCCAATGTTCACTTTGCCTGGTTTTGTTGCAGCATGCCCCATATAATAATTACAATAATATATGATAATAGATTAATTATTATAAATAAAATGTCTATGAAACTCCTGCTAAAACCTTCTTGAGTTCTTGTTTTTGTTGATCAGTTAATTTGATAGGGAATTTAACATCATATTTTATTACTAAATCACCTTTTTTCGTTGGTTCTTTAGTTGGCATGCCTTCATTTGCAAATCTTTGTTCTTGACCAGGCTTTATAACGCTAGTGTAATTAGATATTGCCAATGTTCTACCATCTAAAGTTTGTATGGTTTTCTTGAAGCCTGTAAGAGCTTCAAGTAAAGTTAATGTGATTTTTGTTGATAAATCATCACCATTCCTTGTGAATATCTGATGAGGCTTTTCTTCCAAGATCACAACAATATCTTGTGACCCACCAGTTGGTAATTCATCACCTGCATTTGGGAATCTGAATTTTGTACCAGCTTTTAAGCCAGGTCTCACATTGATTTCCAAAATTTTGTCAGTTGGTACTTGTTTACCAGTTGGACCATCAATTATCTTTCGAGTGACTTTAAGTTTTTTGATAGTACCTTTGTATATTTCTTCAAGTGTTAATGAAATTGTATATTTAACTTCTGGTGTTCCTGAACCATCACCACGCCCTTTACCAAAGAAATCACTCATATCTGCTGATCTTTTATTGCCAAACCTTGTGCCTCTGCCACCACCAAACCCAGGAAATGGAAATTCATCATCTCCACCAAAGCTTTTAAAGAAATCATTAAATATGAAAGTAGGATCTGATGGTTTAAACCCGCCTTGTCCTCCTGTATTAATTTAATAAATAAGTATCGACAAGTTTGATTCTAAAACAAAATCTTTGTCAACAAAAGCAAAAAAAAAACATATATTTACCTGTTGAAGTGAATGTGAATGTTTGGCCTCCTGGGAAACCACCTGGGAATGTGCCACTAAAACCACCACCGCCGCCACCATTTGATGGTGGTGGAGCGCCACCTTTTAGACCTTCTTCACCATATATATCATAAATCTCCCTTTTTTGTTTATCGCTTAATACTTCATAAGCTTCACTTATCTCCTTGAACTTGATTTCTGCTTGCTCTTTATCATTTTGATGTCTGTCTGGATGCCATTTAAGTGCTATTTTGTGTTATTATTTATAAGGTAAATAAATGAGTATTTTTTTTTTTTTTGCAATTTTTGGAATCCGAATCCATCAATAAATAATACTTGCCTAATTTTTTATAAGCTTTTTTAAGAGTTTCTTCGTCGGCCTTCTTGTCAACTTCCAAAATTTTATAATAATCCTTTCCCATTTTTGTGAATAATTTGAATTAAAAAAAAATAATGAAAATATTTGTTAACAAAATAAGCAACAAAAAAATTTATTATAAACCTTTTTTAAATAATTCTAGATTGAACTAGCAGTTTTCTCACGTAAAAATTTTACTAGAACATTCCAAGATGGTGGTGTACAATGATGACATGATTGACCAAATATCTTAATATAGACATCAATGGCTGTTGATCATCAAGCATATTTAATATTAAATCATGTGCGGATTTTTTAGCAACACATGTACACTTCCTGATCAAAGGTATAGGGATATATATATATATCACTCACTGGATGAAATAGAGAGTTATATCAAACAAATTTATTAACTTTGTTTGACAAAAATGAATTTGCATAACAGACTCCTTTCATTAACAAAATGTAAATAATGTTGGTTGGTTTTTTTGGATAGTTATTTTAATTTAAAATATTGTGTATCACGTGCAACCAATGAAATCGCTTCTCTTCATAAATGCACACCCTCCATAAATGCACGCTGTCCCTCGGTCCGAAGGGGGTGCATTTATGGAGGGTCTGATTGTACAATAATATTACAGCCGGATTTGAAATGTTGCACACCACAAAAGATCAGCTCGCTAATTATTTCATTTCTCCTCGTTGCGCAGGATTTTATATGATTTATAAATGACTACGTCTGGACTTATAGATGGATTAGTGGATATAAGTAAGTACTTGTTTTTATTTTTTTTTATTTTTGCAAAGTAAATACAATAAATAATATTTGAATACTTTGGAATGAAATAACTCAATTTGAAATTAATTAACTTGCCTAGATCAAGAAAATACTGAAAACAAATACTCACAAAACATCGATTACTATCAAAAATACATTGATTTGTTAAAAAAAAATGAAGATTTAGAAACAGAAAAAGAAGACTATAAGTTTAATTTAACCAGATATCAAGACATCCTTGAACCAGCTTACAATAAAAACATTAGAAAATTAAAAGAGGAAAATGTAGTTATATCCCAAGAGAAAGATTTCTATTTTGCTAATTTTACTAAATATCAAAAAGAAATTGAACCAAAATACAAAGAAGAAATCTATACTTTGAATCAAGATTTATCTAGATATGAAAATATTTTTAAAGATTTAAAAATAGAATATAACGATAAATTATTTCAATATCAAAAAGAAGCCGAGAGACATTACAGTGCGATAATCAGAGATTTAAAAGCAGAAAATGAAAAACTTAATTTAGACAAAGAAAGAATTAATAACAACTTGGATAAAGATTATCCCGACGAAAAAATTATTGAGCTTGAAACAGATATTCGTAGCAAAGTTGTTATGATTGAAGCCATAGAAAAATCAAATCAAGAATTAAGAACTACAAACGACAAATTAAGAAAAGAAGCTTCGTCATATCAATCAGCTTTAGGTGATGCATTAAATGTCCATTTGAATAATTCAGTTCAACTTTCAACTGATATAGCTTCTCTACAGGATAGACTTGAAAAATACGTCACAGCTTTAAAAGGTTCTTTTATAGAAATTGATAATGATAAAATTCAAGAATTGTATGGAAAATATAATTTAGATATACATCAACATAAAAATAATAAAATTTTGATGAAATCAGTTTTACAACGTCATGTTTTAGAAAAAATTCTTGAATATATTGATAATTATCTTGATATTACAGAAGATGATGATACAAATAATCCCAATAATCAGGAAAAATATATAATGAATCATACAAATGAATTAATATTTCTCCTTGATAAATTTTATAATAATCATTTTGAACAAGATAATAATGTGATTAAAGCTATTCCAACAAAGATACGTCAACAAGTTTATGGTATATTAGGTGAATTTGGATTCTCAGAGACTTGTGAAAATAAAAAAAAACAATATATGCATCCATTCATATCATCCACAGCATTAGAACTTAATCAATTAATGGGAGGATATCGTTATATCAAAAATGATACCAAAAGAAAGAATGTAGAAAATATGGCAGAAAATCTTATCAAAGATGTTTTTAGGATATTTAAATTTCGATTATTAGTTCAAGAACCAAAATGTGAGACACTCTGGTTTGAAAAAGATGTAAAAATAAATCCTCTATTTATGAAAGGACAATGGGATGATGATTTTTTGGATGATTATGTTGTGGATATTTGTTATTTTCCTTTGATTGGAACGGAATTGAATGATTCGAGTAAAAGTAAAGTTTGCATTCATGCAAAAGTTTTCCCTCGATCTATAGAACCACCATCGCCTACAGCAGAAGATCATCCGCCTTTGAATGATGAACTACAAGAAAATTCAAGTTTAATCGGAGGTAATATTAAGGGTATATTTAATAAAATATTACCCCCACCATCCTCTTCAACACCAAGTCAAAATTCAGATAACAGTGATCACAACAAGGATCCAAATAAGCGTCAAAATTCGGCTAACAGTGATCACGACAAGAATCCAAACAAGCGTCAAAATTCGGCTAACAGTGATCGTAACAGGGACTCAAACAAACGTCAAAATTCAGCTAGCAATGATTGTAGCAACGATCCAAATGAGCGTCAAAATCCAGTTAACAGTGATTGTAACAGCGATCCAGAAAAGCGTCAAAATTCAACCGACAGTGATCATAATAATGATCAACCTCTGGATGATAATGTAAATGATGATAATAATAAAAATAAAAACGAAAATGAAGATGGAGAAGCGAGTGATGTTGACAACCAAATTATAAAAGGAGGAGTCTGTGGTGGAAATGAAGATAGTAAAATTGAAAATAGTGAAAATCAAGATATTGACGACCTAGAAAATGATGGTGGACAAGGAACTAGTGAATACGGAAATGATGAAAACAGTCAAGAATCTGTATGGGTTGCTGAATGGGTTCCTGAAAAAGGAATAGATCCTGAAAAGGATGTTGATAAAGATGGTAAAGACACAACCACAAAAGTAAAAATTGGTAATAAAAAAACCAATAGAAAAAAAAAAAAGCCTGGTAATGTTTTCGATTGTATGTAGAGAATATCTTTATTATATATATAAGGCATTTTTGGTAATGATATTCGTGTTTTTACTATCTAATTTAACCTAGTCCTCAATTAAAAAAAAACGGTTTAGATTTTATTCTTTACATAAACATTTTAATTTAATTTGAATTAATTTTAATTTAATAAAAAATTCATTATTTTTATTTTTCAACCATTGGTCATTTTGTCATGTGATTGAAATTGGTTCCGTGGCACAGCAATCATTTGCTGATAAAAACTTTCTTAGCCATGCTGGTATCATGATTGTTTTCCTTTTGCCGAAATTCAAAAATGAATATTTCAATGCAAAGAGAGCATCGATTAGCCATGTCATAGCTTCTTTGCTGAATTTCCCACAAATTCCTAGCTAGGCAAAGGATTAATTGAATCATCAAGATCTCAACAAAAGATGGTAGTTCTAAAACTTCTTCCGATTTCTCGTAATCAAGGCTTCCAAATTTTCGTTTGATGGTGATTTCAATCTAAAATATAGGGTCATCATGCGATGGTTCTACAATTGTTTCGGGTTTTACTGAATATATATGCTAAACAGTTGTACATCTTGTTTTGACATAACCTGTTAAACCGCAACCAATGATTACGTCTCTATTGCAGTTGTAAAAGGCACATTAATAGTTATGAAGGAGTGTTGTATAAAGAAGCCAAGGTGTTTTGCTGTGTCACACACATTTGACTTTACACTCGATTTCTGAAATTGAAAAGATACTTGGCCGAGCAGACTTTTTTTAATTCTCAATTGTAGCAGAAATGGGGCATGGACAATAGGAAGGAGTCAACTACCAAAATCGTGATTTTGGGTTAATAGCGTCCTTACACGTAATTTGCCGCAAGGATTGATTTTAGCTTAGAGACCATACCCAATTAATAAAATTCTGGGATATGTTCTGTTAAAGTTCTTTAAAAAAAATACTAAATGAGAAGGATAACTATATACAAACATCGCGATTTTGAATTAATAGCATTTCTATATGTAATTCATCACGAGGATTGATTTTAGCTTGGGAAGTTAAGATGATAATCACGTGTTTTTATATGTCCTGCGAATCCGACCCGAGTAACACAATTGATACGTGACCTTAAAAAAATAGTAGAATGCAGATCTTTTTAAAAACGTGATTTGCAGTGCCCCCAAATGCCAACATTTTTGCATTTTATTGGGATTCTACTACATCTAGAATTGGTTCTGAATTGCAAAGGTAGCAATTCACATTCACATTCAGTAGAAAGGCCATGAGGACAATATTGGCTTTATTCATACATACAAATAGGAGAGATCGTTTGTAAGTAAATTTATTAATGGAGTTGTAATAAAATCTCTGAACTTCTTCAATAATTTAATAGAATTACCAACGAGTCAACTTAAAGGTGACATACTTTATCATCAAAAAAATTTTAAAAGGATTATGATTCTGATTCTCCAATTCATCATCTTCATATTGTAACACCATTGTTCACGATCATGATTATCTGATCACGCACGAGTTACAAATTAATGATTTTGGTGAAGAAGAGCTTATGGCAGGTGCTATAAATAGTATCGGAGAAATATCGAGATATGTAAATATAATATCTTTAAAAAGTACAGGAACGGAATACATTTATTGGAAGCTATTGAAGAGGAGAATGTTTTTGATCGTGATGATGATACTCGATCAAAATGGTCACTGTTATATTTATTTGATTCTAGTTGAGAGCCTCTGACATTTTTAGCAATTTTTATATTAAAAATCATTATTATTCTCTCTATATCTGATTGAACGGACGATCTTAGTGACCAGGTCACGTAATATCACGGCACACAATTCCTTTGATGTACAATTAAAAGACAGGTGCACAAATGTGCATTGTTTTGTAACAATACCCATAATGCTCAACAACTATCATTGCCTTCTTGATTATCAAGTCAATTAAAGATTTATGCGGCATCATTAGATAAGGATTCATTAGATGGACGAAGCTTTTGGATTGCAGCATATAAATTCTTAATGCAAATAGGGCGAGAAGGGTATTCACCTTCAAGAAAGTTTATTATATAGTAGCTCCAAATTGTACAATGTACAGACATAAACTCTGCATCTCCAAGCATTTCAGCAACAAGATCTAATTCATATTAATTATCATTTATCGTTGGACAATGATGCGTTTACTAAAAAAAGATAATCGGTCTTGTATCTTTCATAGATGTTGTTGAGCTAACTATACGTTCACATAAATATGTGCGTCTTCTAACAACACACTCTAACCGACGAGTTCTGTCCTTTTTAGTCTGATCTTTTACCCATTCTTCTAGAAATACATCACAGACTTCCCACTCTTTTCAGTAAAAAATTCGGAAGCTCAGTTTCCCTGAATGAGGCATTGTAATAGAATAAATAAACAAGAAACAAAGCACATCCTCATCCCACTTATTGAAACTTCTATTAAAGAATGTGTGTGTTTGCAATTCAGTTAACATGCTTTGGATTAGTTAATTTTTAAGAGAGTGGATGAAGAAAAGAATTAAATTGTAACGCGTACAGAAATATGACATTATTTTATTTTTTATTCTCCATAGATTAATAAATAATGGATCGTCAAACAATTTAATAACGTTGGTATATATATATATATATATATATGTTGGATGTGGTTTTCAAATTATAAAATATTTAAATGATAAAGACATGCACCTTCCAATAAACCTCCTTAAAATGGTTCATTATTATTTGATCTTTATATATATATCAAAAAAGGCAAATAACCGTCGCACCGACTTATTTATGCCAAATATAGAACGTTGATTTAGAGAATTTTGTGTTTCAAATACTAGTGTTAATATACAAACATTCTAATTATTCTTCAATTTCCCGAAAAAGTTTTCAATGTCTTGGAAAAGTGATATTAGAGTAATTGTCGGTTTAGGTAAATAAATATTGAACAAGTGATATTATTGTTTTGTTGAAATTTTAACATACTATTATTTGACTTTTAACTTTATTTATAATATACACACTACTGGTTTTTTTTTTCAGACTTCGGAACAACCTTTAGTGTAAATAAAAAAAATTTTTTTTTATTGCATTAACCCTATAAAGGAAAATTTTTAAATAATATTAATTTAAATAAAAATTTTGTTTGTTTTCAAACGTAGGGATTTAGTTATGTTCATACAGCTAATCAAGAAGAAATTATTACCAATGAAGCTTGGCCTGGTGAAATTGGACAGCTGAAGACAAACACGGTTTTGCAATATGATTCAAAATTTGAAACGGTCGAGTTATGGGGGGCACCAGCATTATCAAAACGACCACATCGTAGAAAGAAAAAAGTAATTGAGGCTCAACCAGTAGAATTATTCAAACTTCATTTAGGCGATATGCCGGCAAAACTTAAACCAAAACTTGAATTAGATTATAAGAAAGCAATCACAGACTATCTAAAAGAAATTGGAAGAGTATGAACATTTCTATATTATTTTTATCATTGAAAAAATTATCTGGTTGCTTATGATCAGATTTAATTTATTTAGTGGATGAAAGACACCATAACAACAAGATGGTGTGGGATAGATTTCAAAAATGATGTTTTATTAATTATAACAATGCCTGCAGGTAATAAATAATTTAAATGTTGAAATTTTAATTTTCATCTTAAAAATCATTGGCTAATTAATTTAATTTAAATAAATATTTTAGATTATTCGGAACAAGCGAAGGCTATTATGAGAGAATGTGTATTCAATGCAGATATGATTTCTGATTTGGATTCAGAAAAATTGCAATTTACAACTGAACGTATGTTTTATGAATATACTTGATTATTTATTATAAATTATATATAATTGATTTTATTTCAAAAAAATATTTTTAAAATCAATCATTTAGCCGAAGCTGCGGCTGTTTACTGTTTAAAAAATGTTCTCAAAGAACATTCTCTTCAAGTATCAGGAAGTAAGTTGATGTCCATTATTAACTTTATAAAGCAATTTATGTATTTATATATGTATGTATGTATCGCTAATTTAATGATAATTGTCAATATGAAGCTACCTTTATGATAGTTGATTGTGGAGGCGGAACCGTTGATTTAACAACTTACAAGTTATGGAAGGAAGATCAACTTGGCGAAATAACTGAAAGAGCAGGAGATTTTTGTGGAAGTACGTTTGTTGACAATAAATTTGTAGATTATTTGAGCAGCATAGTTAGCAAAAATGCTATAAATTTGTTAAAAAAAAATCATTATGGGCAATTCCAATATATGGTCCAAACATTTTGTAAACAAGTCAAATTTCCATTTTCTGGACAAGATCCTGATTTTACATACGAGTTAGATATTGAAGATGTCTGTCCAGTTTTAAAGCAATATGTAACGGATTCGGTAGAAGAACAGCTCGAGGAGACAGAATGGATAATTGAGATAGATTATGATACAATCAAATCATTTTTTGATCCAGTAATCGATAGGATCATCTCGATGATCGATGTTCAATTGAAAAATTCAAATAATAACATAACAGCAATGTTTTTAGTGGGAGGTTTTAGTCAATCGAAATATTTACAAAAAAGAATCAAAGATAAATTTATACCTCAAGTTCCTAATATATCAGTTCCTGTTAGATCTATAGTTGCGGTCTGTAGAGGAGCAACACTGTATGGACTTAGTATGTACAATAATGATAACTTGAACAGCAACAATAATTTTAAATTTGTTATAGATAGTCGTGTTTTACGTTATTCATATGGTATAATTGGATATCCGATGTGGAAAGAGGGTGATCCACCACATAGAAGAGATTCGGATGGTAGAATGCGTAAATTCATTCAAATGGCACCTCGTGGTAAAGTTGTAAAAATAAACGAGGAATCTTCTACAACGTTCGTACCAATATCAGCAGAAAATGAATCTATAAGATTTGAAATATACCATTCAAAGAACAATGATGAAATCTACTCGGATGAGCCAGGCATGAAAAAATTAGGTGAACTTATAATTTCATTGCCTGATAAACATCTCGGAACTAATAGACCTGTATTATTTTCACTCTGCTTTGGAAAAATGGAGATCACAGCAAGGGCAATAAACCAATTAAATGGTTTAAATTGTGAAACAAAATTTCGGTTAGAATTTGATTGAAATATACAATTATTTAAAAAAAGTTTTATTGCATCCGTAATAGTTATTATTGTAATAGTAGATTGATTGTAATTTTACAACTTTTTTTTTTTTTGATTTTTTCTTTTGGAGTTCCAATATCAATATTATTATTAAACTTTATATTATTTAAATTAACGCCATGGCGCAGAAAGCGTGGGATATCATTGTGTTAAAAGATATGCCATACAGAGATGTAACACAATTTACATTTAAAGAAAAAAAAAAGACCATTGACAAAAACTTGCTCATCGACAAAATCATGAGTTAAATCAAACTAGTCCAAGGTGAGAAAGTCATTGAAGAAATGTAAAACAGTTCCATCTTCAGCCATTTGATCTTACCTTGGTATTAAATAAATACAATCCAATTTTTATCAAACAATTAACTTACTCTTCATTACATTAATTTTACAACAAGAGTTTACCAAAATGTTCTTCAGAAAAAGTATGCATCGTGCTACGTAACATCAATTTCTATTTCTTTCGGGCCATTTTGACAAGAGATTTCATTCATCTGACATTTTTGTCCAGCAAATTCCAAGAAAGAGTTCTGCTCATTGCTACACAGATTTATCCTGTCACAAATATATTGTCAAAATAACATTAAAAAAGTGAGATTTATTGAAAAAAAAAAAAGAAATGTCTAATCGTTATATTGTTTAATATTTATTGAAAAAAAGATCATTTATTGCTTACTTTGTCATATACAATTTTGATAAATCTCTACATCTTTGTATTTTCTTTTATATAAAGAATCTCTTCTCAAATAAAATCGGGGAACAGTGCGTAGCAAAGCAAAGCGAAGCGAAGCGTTTTGAAGAAATCAAATATTTCCCATACAACAAGTATGGGAAGGGAACGTTAAATTGTGGAAGAGAAAGTGATACTTTGTTGATTTTCGTTAATCAGACATAGCCTTGGTTTTTGAGATGGATTACGCATGTGAAATTGTATATTTCTAGAAATGCATCGATTAAAAAGATCTTTAATTCGCAAATAAAATTCTGAAAATTAATTATATACATAGTAAATTCTGGGGGATCATAACTATCAAATGGTTAACTTCCAAATTTTTATATTACACAGAATATTAAATAATATGATGCAAAAAATCTCAACCATTAATTTTATTATTTTGACATATTTTTTATTATTGTTGTTGTTTTCTTTACAAGTTTTTGACTTTGCTACTTAGCAACCCTGGATTTCAGAAAACGTGGCGCAGTTTGCACTTCTATCATGGAGTGTTCAAGGTAGTGTGCGTGCTTCAACGCTTGTCAAATTTCCGATAATCAAATGTTGCATATTTGAATTGTTTCTTTTTCAACAGTCAATGCTGCCTTGACATCTTGTGATTATAATAATAATAATATTATTATTATTACGATTACGCAAAGCAAAATATTATCAATGAAAATCTTGTAATTACCCAGCAATGATCTGCTCCATGTTTTGATTCCAATTAAAATATTTATAAACTAAAATAAAAATCAATACAAATAAAAAAAAGTACCTCTGGTTAGATATTAACACGTTTCTTTAGGAGACCCAAACCAAACCAAACCAAACAACAACACTCACGTTTTGTCACCTTGGACTCTGTCAAAAAATAAATTGTTTTTAATGTTTTTCAAAAAAAAATCAATTCGCATCTGTCCTCCCAAAAAACAACCAATAGGATAAATAATTGATGTGTACATGTCAATCAATCATAAACTTCTTTTATTTTTTCTCTCAAAGATTTTAAAAATGACTACTTCTAAAACAACAAGAAAAAGAAGCAACCATAAAGACAAGAATGATGCAAGTAAATGGTGGTGGTGGTTATTGCCTGCCACTCGTTGTCACTCTAGTTATTTATTTAAATGGTGATAGTGGTTTATTTATCCCACTCGTCGTCACACTAGTTTTTATCTAATTACATTTATTTTTCAAATATTATATTCACAAAATTCTAAAGTAAATCATACTCTTTTTAATACATTGTTCTTTAATTATTTTCTTAAATGAATTTGATTTTTTTTTTTTTTTTGATAGAATGATATTGTGGCTTCATTTACAAGGGACATAATAATAAAATTTGGAAACATTAATTAGATAGCTCTGGAAAATATAGACAAAGTGTTAGAAATAGAAAAGGAAGCGATAGAATCATTAAAATATTTTTATTAAATATGAAGGAGATGATGATATTAACTTTAATACCAATAATACCAATTTACAAAATATTTCCATTGGTTATGAAGGAACTTCAAATGATGATGAACTTAATAATGGTATTAATACCGATAATACCAATGACATTGGTGATACACCAGAAGAAAGGATTTACATCGTGGAAAGAGTGGAAAGAGTAAGTATTTAACAATCTTTGATTTTATTTATTTTTACTTTTTGTCAACTTATGCATTAATTTTTTAAAAATCTTACAGAATAATCATAATCTTAGGAAAAGAAAGAAAATAAACTATAATACTGGCTCATATAGGAAACGTGCAAGTATAAACTGAAACATTAATTTTTTACTTGTATTTATAGAAGAGGTTATCATCATTGTCATCATCAAAACTATTGCCAACAACATCACCAATACTATCGCCATCAATATCACCAAGACGAGAATGCACAAAATTGTGTGATTTACACACAATTACTGATCATTAAATTTGCATAACAATAATAATAAGGGAAAATTTTCTTTATATATATATGTTAATATAGTAATAATAATAAAAAATGGATCCTTTCCACCTCTCCCCATTTGCTTAAGATATGTCATTTATTTTTCAGTTTAAAACCCCCCTCCTAATAATCATCATTAAATACGATTTTATTCTGCTTAAAAAATAATCAATAAATATTTACACAATATTTCCATCTATAATAACTTAAGAAAATGCTTGCTTTCAACTGTGAACTTTTTTGTGGGTTGTTAATTGGACTCCTGCTTGGTTTCTTCACTTTAAAACTTACAAAAAATCAACTCTGTATTATAATCAAAAAAATTAATCAAATAATCGATATAATAGAACAAAATTAAAAATAGAACAAACAAATTTACTGCTGATAAAAAATATTCGCAAGTCCATGGTGTAACTTCAAAGAATTATTTGACAAAAGACTCCGATTTTTCCTTTAATGAAATGACCATTAAAATTCGTGAATTACTTAAGGAGAAAGGAGTTGTCACTTCTACTATTAAAATTTCCATCAATGAAAGGCAAATCCTAGAAAAAAAACATTAGAAGCAATTCAGAAGTAAATTGAAAAGGAAGAGATAGAGATGAAGATAATGAAAACAAAGAAGATATAAATATTAATACAACATTATTATTGATAATAATAAATACTAATAATGAGATTATTTTCCTTCTAAGGATTTTTGCTTTTTGTTGAGTAATAGCACACATTTTCATTCTGCTTTCTTTTTCTAATTTTATTATTTTTCTTTTTTGGTAAATTTCATAGGTAATCCTTTCTTAGATAAGTTTCGAGTGTATGAGTGTCATTTATTTTGAAAATATAAGGAGCAATGTTTCACCTTGTTCCTTTTTTAAAATATTTCTAATTGTGCTATTGATGTAAATGAGTTTCATAAATGGGATATTATAAAATTGTTAATTATGATCACATTACAAATGACTAAATTTTGATCCCTGAAATACCAATGTGCAGTATGCCTCAAATAATATTAAAAATGCATGCCAAACTAGAAAAGCTCTCGAATTTATCTTTATCTCCTCTAACAATACTTACTCGTAATATTTCTCTCGGGAATTGTTTGTTTCTTTTCTTCTTATTATTCTTCTCCAATGACGAAGACATTTTATTTAGAAAAAAATTTAAAAAAAGGGGCGTCAGGCAAAAAATTTTTTATAACGCGTCTTAAAGAAAATTTTTTTTGAAAAAAAAAACCCAATTAGGCATTCATTCATCAATAAACATTTGGTATGGTTTTGCTTAGATCAAAACTTATAGTTGTTTACATTATATAGTATTTTTATAAATGATTGGTGTACTTTTGCATTGGTCATTATTAATATTAAAATAATAATAATTATAAGAAATCTAAAAGCGAAATAGGCAACACGACTATTGAATATCTCTCTTAGTAAACTCGATATGTAACGTGTGTTGTTACTTTGGGAGCTCAAACATTTCAAGCATTCTCTTTTTTCTTCACGTATATATGGCTAATCCGACTAGCTTGTCTTGAGATATAATGATGCAATTAAATTTTCAGGGATGTGGGTTTATGAATTTCATCATTGTCAAAAAAAATTTTGCATGAAAAATGCATTAGTATTTGTATGGAAAATGTACGGAAAAACATGGGTAAAGTATTAGTATAGAAAACTTATTATTATGAAAAAATGCTTCTTTTATATTTATGTTTCCGTATTCTAACATTCGCTGGAAAAGATAATAATACTAATACTAATACGAAAAACACATGAAAATGTATGGAAATATATTTTTTCGTTCTCTTTTCAGATAATACAGTAAAAACAGAAAAATATGGTTTTCCAAAATTATTTTTCATACGGAGGCCAGTTTTGCATTTGGCTGCCTTGATCACTCTAGCCATTTTTGGCTGATAATGTTGGCCGGCTAATGGAAAAATGCCAATACTGGCTAAAGCCTTTCATTTGTTTAAAGCCTTCTAACATGTGGGACCTTCACCCATGGAAAGAATTCCATAGTTATGAAGGTGTGTGAAAGCATTAACCATATGCTTGATCGAGAAAACTAATTAAATATGACACCTGTGACCAGTCAGATTTATTCGGTTTATTTTTTTGGGGATTTTGAGAGCGATCTCTACAATTTGTAATGGGAAGAACACATGTACATATAACACGCACCAACACGCGTACGAAAAAAAAGGGTACCAAGACCACTAAAAATGTTCCACTACCACTTGTATGACATGGTAATGAACTATTAAAGATGCTGGTTGCGACCATTTTGTTTCCTTTTTGCAATATGGAGCATTAGAACCATTGCTCTGTATGGAAAGAAGTTATGGACTAAAATTCGGAAAGGATCATAGGTTTATTTTCCAATTTTCTCATCTTTATTGTATGTGGCTTTTCCACAATTGGTTCCTTAAAAGGTTTGTTTCTGCATGGTGGTTCTAATATTATCATTATTACTTGGCCAAATTTAAGAACAATATGATCAAATGCATTGCGATAGATATATACAACAGTGAGGACAAAGATATTCATGCTCGAATAAAGGATTAAATAACAATGGAAAGACGAATAATGCTTCATTTATTTTGATATAACCAAGATATAGGGAAATACATAATTATTCAAAAATATTGAAATATAAGATAAAAAATTACTGAGTAACTACATGAGATCCGAAGTAGAACAATCACAAGAGGAACAATTCAAATGGACACGAGAAAATCAACAAAATATTTCACATCTATCTCACAGTTGGTCGAAGCCTTTGATAACCACAGTAGGTTTGTTGTCACATATAAACAATCATTATCATACTTAAATATTATCCACGGTAAATTTTAATCAAAGCAAACTCGGCTGGATCAATAGCAGCAACAACAGTATCAGCAACAGCATTGACGACAAAAATTTATTCGATATAATGAGATAAATTATTTACAAAGGACACAACTGCAAAAAGATCCTTCTTCGAAGAGATTATCATATTTTTCGTTAGAACCATGGATAATTGGCAAATTTTAGGTTAAAGTAGATCTTCCATCGAGGTAAGTTTTGGTGTTGTTAAATTGCACATACATTTTTATCTATTAATACTTCAAAGATAATGTTTTTTTTAAATAAAGATAACATTGAAACCGAAGATAGCATTCGATCGATGGCGTTGGACGGATTCACCTTATAATGCTACCATTATGCACACAATTAGTGATCCATGAAGAAACAATAAAAGAAACAATACACTTCCCACAATTTAATGTCAACAATGTGGAACAATTCAGATTGTGACATCAAATTGGCAAACATCCATCATTCAAAAATTTGTTTATAAAGGTAGTCTGGATGAAAGTAATGATGATGGTCCGCTGGTAGTAAAAGTAATTATTCCGTACTGAGAGTGTAATCAACTTCAAGATCAAATAAAATTTTCTAGTATATCAAATGATGAACTGGAAGTACTATAAAAGATGACAATGAACAATAAAAATTATTATTTTAGATAAATGTAATGATAAAGAGATTAACTATTATAAAAAACAAAAAAACAAAAAGTTATATAAGCAATAAATAATAATAAAATATAATTAATGAATCCATTTATTTGCATGTCCATTTTCCATCTGTGGTTCTAAAAAACCACGAAACATAATTTTTGTCCTTTTCTCATTGACGTCATTAACATCATCAACAACATCATCTTCTTGATTCATATTATTATTTCGATTGATTTCCCATCGAGCACCATACCCTAAATCATTACGTATTTCATATACAAGTATATCGTGCTATTATTTATGTATGTATGTATGTAAAGAATATTATTAACATCAATAATTATATAATAATTGATATAAAATTAAAGTGATAAAATTGAAAATAGACATTTACTGGAAGTGAATGTAAATTCACCCAAGATGCATTTGTTATAATTTTAGCTAAAACATGATTTGCTTGTTCATTTTTTTTGCTTTCAGCTGAATAATAATAGTAGCGTTAAGAGCGCTATTAATATCATTATTGTTGATAAATTAAAGAATAAATTTTAATATTTAATTGTTTTACTAACTTCCAGTACAAACTCCCCAAAATAAAGTTGATTTGTCACGATGAGAATGTTTTGATAATGCTTTACCACCAATTGTTAATATATTACTACTATTAGGATTCCTGGGATTCTTTTTTTGATTTTTTTTAATATAAACCCTTGTAAATGACTCAACACACTCGTTAAATGATGGTGGAAGGTGTGATGATGATTTAAAAGTTGTTCTTAACCCCAAGAAAGTGTTTAAATCTTCAAAATTTAAAAACTTAATTGCAAAAAAAGAAAAATATGAAATTAATTATCTTCTATTTATAATTAGCAATATTAATGATACTTACACCAAATAAAAATTCTTTGATCATTGATTTATGAGAATTTTGAAATATAATTGGAAATCCATTCCACAAATCAATTAATTTTTTCATCTCATTTTCAATATCTTCTAATCTAAACTTTTTTTAAAAGTTTATTAATTTACTAATTATTAATTAAAATTTTAAATGATTATTTTCAAATAAGTATATTCTTTTTAATTTAAATCATTATTATTGTTATTATTTTTACCGTGTTAAATTTATATTTTCTAGCATAAAAACTTTACTTTTTTTAACGTTATCAGGAAATTTTCCTCCATCCCCAAAACAATTTGTCAACATTTCAATTAGTGCCAAATAAAATGGTCTTTCAAGAATTCCTTTACTAAAGCGTGAAGATTTATCTTTATCTTTTAAACAATCTGAAATGCATTCATAAAGATGAATCGTGAATTCATTTTTTTGGAAATTCTATCAAAGAAAAATAATGGTATTATTGATTATTTTACATATATAAAATTTACAATGTATATAATTTAATTCCTACATTTTCAGAATCATCTTCTTTTAATAATCCTTTACAATATTCGCTCAAAAAATCATCAGAAAGAGATTTTTCTTGAGATTTTTCGCATAAAACACTTTTAATCAAATCAGTAAAATTCATTACGGTTGCTGTTGTTTGACTTGGATTTAGATAATTGCAAAATTTTCCCAATTAAGTAAGCTTTTTATACGATCATTATTTAGCCAAATTTGGCAAGTTCTTTCTATATTAATATACTCAAAATTAATATTAACATTTAGCCGTTGGAATTTTTCAAAAAAAAAAAACTGATCTATATAATAATAAATAAAGTAACTTTTAGAGATTCAGATCAACAAGATTTCTTAACTTGTAATAATGCGGAAGTCAATTTAATATTAGAGGTATGGTAGGCTAAATAATATTAATATTTATTTCTTAATTCTTTACTAAACAGAGATATATATATTAATTAGAAAGAGAATATTATGGTTAGATATTATATCGCACACTCTTGTTAACCTATAACTGACGACGATACGTCAAATCAATAAATTAAATGGAAAGTAGATATAGGGATAAAATTTCAATCACAATTGTACATAATCATTACCTTCCTTTTTCAAGATAATCCTGTTTTTTTGAATGCATTCCTCGAAAGTTTCATGTTTTATTTGTAGATATCATTTTCTACGACTTCTTTTACTCTAATGAATATTTCCTCTTCACAATTACATAATACAGGCGCTGGCATTTTATGTTTCTTTTGAATGGTATGTAATTGTACAGATTTTTCAAGTGGTAATACTGGCGTTGTTTTTTCCTCATAAACTACAATCTCGTGATTTATCTTTTCCTCTATTTCTGGAAAAATCCAATTGGCTTATTCTGCTGCCAATGAATACTTTACAGTTGTAATGGTATTACATTTTATTGATGGACAAAGCTGTCCAAGTTTCTCTGATTATAATGAGGAGTTTGTTATAGATAAGAAATCTAAGATAAAAATTATATATCATTAGAGCTAAAAAAAAAAAATGAATCTGATTCTCATTTATCATATAGTTGGGATAAATCACATATTATGATTTACATCAAGTGTATGATTTATAACAAGTATCTGGTTAGACATACCAATTTGATTTTTTTTTTGTGAGCTTATGATAAATAATGGCATAAAACATCCTTCCTTTATTTGTGATGAATCATATGATATACATATATTCTGCCAAGAATTTCAATTCTTGCATAAATAAATTAAATTAAATGTTCACAATTTTGCTTTGTTTTCTAACTTGAGCAATTTTGCCATGTTTCCATATAAGAACTTATCTCTTACTTTATCACTCAATCCTAATTCATCTACTTGTTTCATCGTGGCTTCCCAACTAAGTTGGGGAAAATTGGTACCATAACAAACTTTGTCTTGACCATAGGTTTCAATATAATGGATAAGTTCTGGAGGATAGTAACGAGGAAGCCAGGCAGAAGTATCAACGTACACGTTGGGATGTTTCCAGCAAAGAGCAATCATTTCGTTTGTCCAAGGATAACCAACGTGACCACCAACAATTTTCAGTTGAGGAAATGTAAGTGCAACTTCATCAAGATAGGGAATTGGTCTTCCTGTCTCGGATGGACATAATGGACCAGTGTGACCAACTTGTGTAAAAAATGGGATATCCAATTCGATACATTTCACATAGAGAGGATAATAGTGTTTATCATTTGGCGGAAGATTATAAAGCCAAGGAATAATACGAAGGCCCTTAAAACCGAGTACATTGACAGCTCTTTCCAATTCTTTCACTGCGCCAAAAGGATCAAGTAAATTGACGCCTGCAATTCCAATAAATCTGTCAGGATATTTTTGTGTCCATTCGCTTATCATGTCATTGGTGATTACTGCTTTTCCAGGTCTATACCAGGCATTTAAACATATTTTTTCTACACCAGCTTTATCCATCAGTTGAATTGTCTGTTCTGGAGTGAGCCCTTTTTCCGACCAAGCTAAAGGCATTTTTGATTGAAGCAAAAGACGAGATACTTCTGGAACACCTTTGATAAAGTCTGGATGGGCGATTTGGCTCCAGGCGTCGATAGAACCATGTTTTTTCAAAGTCATTTTATAGCAGGTTTCACAAATTGATTGTATGTAGTTTCTTGGCCAATGAGCGATTAAAAATTTTAAGAAAAAGAATTGATTGTACTATTATTACTATTACTCTATATATATTATATATGAGTCAAAAAGTTGTGGAACAACTTTAGCGATCATGCACATTTATAATTTTGCATGACGTTATAAATTTCACTGGCCGAAACAGTATATCAAATATTATTAAACAAGAATTACTAATTTGCCGCCATAGTGTATGTGAACCTCATCTTGATCGGACCCTTCTTTTGTTTTGTTCTGTCTATTGTTCGTTGAATAAATCCTCGAGTATTCTTAAAGTATTCTCATTGGCTGAGTTATCTTGGATGAATAATGAATTTCTAACTTAATTTTTCGGATTTATTCGAGCTGGCATATCGTGCTTTGGGTGAATTTCGCCTCGGGCTAGGTAACTTATTCTCTTATCCCCTCCCTATGTTTCTGTAGGCAAAAAAATCAAGTAGATCGGTAGTCATCTAAGAAATTGGTCAAATTTTTTGGCCATTTTTGAGACAAATAATGCAAATTAAGATGTAGGATCTCTTACTTTAGAAACGTACCCGTGTTTAACTTAATAAAATCACGAGATATTAAACGGTTTCGGATGACATTATTAAATCTTAGAAAAATATGCAGTTTTGTTCCTTGAAATAAATGATGATTTTTAGAAATTAGGCAAAAACATAAATCATTAGAAAGACTTGAGGGAGGAAAGAGAATCATTTAAGAAAGAAGAAGAAAGGAATAATTGTATTTTGTATCATTTAATAATATTTTATTACTAGACTGAATGTTTTGGATGATTGAAATTGGAACAAGTTCATACATCTTAAGGTGTTTTTACAAGAATATAAAATTTTTAAAATTTTTGCCGAGCTTGCTTTAAAAAATCAATTTGCTCATATTTGTTTTTGCAAGAACGCAATTTTGTTTAATTGGATTGTTTAAAGTATAAGGAATGAGTTGTAAAATTGATGAATAATAATATTGCATCAATGATTTACTTGTTATTTACTTTTTTGGGAGGATAAATTAAAGTTACAAATGGTACATTATCAATAAAAAGAAAAGAATTGTGCATAACTTAATAATTCTACCGAAAACTAAAGCCTTGATTTTGGTTTTTATCAATTACTTGAAAAACCTCTAATTCATCATATTTACTACCATGTGGTATATTGATGTTATTATAAGCATATGACCCACTACCACCAATATTACCACCAGCACTTTGTGGATTAAACCAGAAATCTTGAAAAACAGCCAAACAACTAGTACTACAATAAATTGCACGACTACTATTAATAGGATAACTAAACATTGCAGTATTAATATCTTTTCTATTACTAATATTAAATATAAAACTTTCAGATGTGTTTTTATAAATCATGCCTCCATTTACATTTCCATTCCAATCAAGTGGATTATATCCTCCTATTAATTGATCTGAATTTTGTATTTTGCCAACTACAAGAGTTTTTTTTATATTATCACATTTTTGATGAAAAGTAAATGCATTTGAACCATCTCTATTACTACGATATAAAATTTTAAATTTGTACTTAACATCTCCAAGTGAGGTATATGGTGGGGTTTTTCGATCAATCCAACTTGCAAAAAGCAATGTAAGCTTTTGGTTAATTGTTGCTGAGTCAATTATTGGATTTCTTGATGGTAGTAGTAAAGATGAAGTTGGCTGTAGTGTTTGTACTCATAATAGGTTACTCATGAGTAATCCGGATACTCATGAGTAACAGTAACATGAGTAATCCGGATTACTCATGCAGATCACTCAATGAGTATGAGTACTCATGAGTAACACCCCTAGTTGGCTGTTCATCAGGAATTAAATAATAATCTAAAATAATTTTCCATGAAGTTCTAGGAAAAAGCATTTGATATGGTGAAATTTTATGACTAAAATCCTTATTAGAAATATCCCAGTACCTAATTAAAGGAATAAATTCTTTTATTGTTGTTTCAAAATCTGCAAAATTTTGCAAAGACCAATATTCAACATTATTATTAATGATTTCTGGATGTCTTGCTAACCCCCATTTAATAATATTTTCCCAAATAACTATCTCATCAACAGAAAAGTCATCTCCTTTGAGAATTTCCAATAGAATTGATTTTTCCAATGATTCAAATTCACTTGACTGAAATAACTCTTTACCATAATTGCAAAATTTTTCTAAATAAGTATTTTTAAGTTCATTAAAAGTTTCTTTCTTTGAATAAATTAATTTAAGAATTTTAACTAGATTTTCTTTTATATAATTTTCATGTTTATCAACAAAATAATTCATTGTATGTTCATAAAGTGACTCAAGACCAAGTTCACCAGCTGCAATTAATATTTCCAAAATGTTAACTCCAGTAAAATAGTCTAATTCAATTTTACAAGTATATAAAAATCTTTTAAAGCAAAATAAAATATTATTATTATTAATTATATATTAACTTAAAAAGTTAATTATTCAATAATAATTTTGTAATTACTTACTTTAGAATAGGTTTAAAAATTGATTCACTTATATCTATTTTTTCAATAATATAATATCCATTTTTTTTTGTTGCATTGGTTAAAGCATTTCTAAAGAATGGACAATGAACTTGTAGAATGAATGAATGGGCATGGATTTCTTTAATATTTGGTTCTACACCAACATTAATTTTTACATCACTATTCTCTTCTGTATTTAAAAATCTTTCATTTTCATTGAAATACTTTTCCAATATTGTTAAATTCATTATTATAGTTATAAAATTTTTTGAGAGAAAAAATATTGTTATTACTATATGAAATTGTGGGACATTGCGGATTGAGTGTCATTCGATATAATATAAAAACATTACACAAATAAAATTATTATCATTCACTTCAAAAAAAAAATTTCCGTTTTTCATATAGCAAGTGATTTTCAACCATAATAAAATTTTTAGAGTCAGACTTTCAACAACAATTAAAAGAAAAGGCTAG